GATCACATCTCTGCACTGATTTGCAAGCTTGGACGTTCGCTTGCAGTTGACTGAGGCATGCGCCAAACCATGTTGGTGAATAAGCAAGCTCAAGAGTTTTTGACTCTTTTGACGGCCCTCTGAAGTCCTGATGGATCTATCACATCTTCCAGAAGGGCAATGGAGAAGATTATCCATGACTTCTACTCAGATCTCTTCGATAGCCATGTCCACCTGCCCACATGCCAAATTCCACAGGATGGATATATGGTTCCCAATGTTCTCCCTTCTGAAATCCGACACGCCATTTCGTCGGTAAAGAAACAAACAGCACCCGGCCCAGACAAGGTCAGACCTGAACACCTGAAGAACCTGCTGTTAGCACTCATCAATACGCTGGCTCAGCTCTTCACATGCTACCTGTCTGAATGGAAGGTTCCGTCCCAATGGAAAACCAGCAGAACTGTACTACTGTACAAGAAGGGAGACATCCACGACATTGGCATCTATCACCCAATATGCCTGTTGTCTGTCATCTATAAGCTGTTCACTCGAGTTATCCTGAATAGGATTGGCAGAACACTAGATGAAGGACAACCATGCGAGCAAGCCGGGTTCCACAAAGGATTCAGCACCATCGACCATATCCACACGATAACCAAGCTCATTGAGGTTTCTCGGGAATTCAAGATGCCGCTCTGTCTAAAGTTCATTGACTTAAAGAAGGCCTTTGATTCTGTTGAAACGGAAGCGGTCATTGAAGCCCTAGCCAATCAGGGCATTCAAGCTCAATACATCAGGATCCTCCATGAGCTGTATTGCGGATTCACTACCAGGATTTCACCATTCTACAAAGAAGTGATCGTTGATGTCAAGAGAGGGGTTCGGCAGGCTGATACCATTTCACCGAAACTCTTTAGTGCCACCCTCTAGAACATCACGCAACGACTGGAATGGGAAGGAATGGGAGTGAAGATAGATGGTTGGCAACTACACCACCTCCACTTTGCTGATGACATTGTTCTAATAACACCAAACGTTAGCCAAGCGGCACAAATGCTGGCCGACTTCGATCTCTTTGAGGCTCTTTGTGTTCCTAGAACTAACAGATGCCATTGGGCTACACTAGCACGCAACAGGGATAAATGGAGACGTTACTGGCACCCACTCGAGCAAATCGACGATTAACGGGAAGTCAAATGATCAAGTAATCAAAAATCTATTCATAATAAAATGAATGAACCTCAGAGTACACTCACTTCAATGTACCTGGATATAGCCAGAGTGTTTGTAACTCAGTCATATATGACAAGCCCACAGCTAACATTACACTCAGAAGTGAAAAACTGAAAACTTTCATCTAGGTGCAAGAAATCATCCCACCTATCCAAAAATATGCTGACTCAGCGACTCCAGGATCATTAAAAGTGAGGTTTTGTTAGCTTTTGATTGCTGTCTCGCACACCCCAGCATACAGGAACAAGGTTCTTGTCCCCAACACAACTGTCTGCTTGTTTCCTGTTGGTAGACGGTACTCCTGGGCTCACATTCTAGTCTGGGCAGCACCTAGTTACAGGTGTAATTGGTTTTTGTTCTGGGGGCCACACCCAGCAGTGCTCAGGGATTACTCCTGTCTCTGCATTCAGGGATCACTCCTGGCGGGCTTGGGGAACCATATGAGAGACCTGAGGTCAAGACTGTTTAGTTGCGTGTAAGGCAAGTGCCCTGCCTGCTGTACTATCTCTCTGGCCTAGTACGTTATCTTTTAAGGTTGGTTTCTTTTGCTTGGCCATACAGACTTATAATGGGGTAACATATAGATAAACCTGCCACTAGGGGAAAAATATCTTAAGTCCAAACATTGACTGGGCACCCCAGCTGACTGCCCTTGTCTGACTATGTGAGTACCCTACTGTCACCTAATTCAAGGCCTTGTTGCTTGAAACACGATTAATCTCCAGTTATTTAGGATATTCCCAACAGTTAACAGGTATTTGTTATTAATCAGCTTAATTTCACTGTGCTTGGGAGCATATTTTTGCATGATGTTTATTCCTTAAATTTGTAAGGTTGTGCTTTGTGAACTGGTATACTTGTCTTTTGATGTGCTATTTATGCATACCTATTAGAGACATATCCAAGAGTAAAATATGGGGACCATAAAACATGGATATATTTGCCTCCAAAGTGTCTCCTACAAGTACTAAAGGGGCATATAGCATTTTCTATATGTTCCACATGAAACTGTGTATGGTTAGTTTTAAAATCTATAGCCAGTTTTAGGATATGTTTAGTAGTATATCATAGTTATATTGATTTGCATTTTCCTGGCGGCTAAAGAAGTTAAGCATTTTTTCCTTTTGTTTTATTGTTTATAGGGATTTCTCTTTGGTGATCTGAGTACAAGTCTTTGATCCCTCCTGCTTTTGTTGAATTTTTTTCTTTGTGTTGAAAGCACGATCACGACCATCCTGTTGTTTGTCGATTGCCTCGAGCAGGCCCCAGTAACGTCTCCTTCGTCCAAGCCCTGAGATTTTTAAAAAGTGCCATATTCAAGGCTCTTTCAGGGTTAGGAGAATGAGACCCATCATTGTTACTGGTATTTGGCATATTGGGTACACCACGGGGAGTTTGCCAGACTCTGCCATGTGGGCAGGTTACATTCAGTAGCCTGCTGGATTTGTCTGAAGTAAGAATGAGATAAGATGTCGTGCGGCCTCGAATGCGGCTGCGCGTTTCCAGGAGCTGGGTTTTATAGTCTCTGGGTCTTGGCCGTTGATGGGATTACATGGCACCAGGGGGCCAGTTGGTGGATGTGACCCCCGCCTACTGGAATTTGGAGGATCTGGGTGGAGGATGCTCAGCCCCGATCCGAGCAGGCTTGGAAATCTCAGCCCCGGGACCTGCATGCTTTTGTTCCTCTGCCGATACCTTCATGCGTGTGGAGAGTGGTCTCAGCATGGTGGTGGCTGGTTCTGGAGGTCTTTGGCTGCCGGAGCCCTGGTCGGGGCGGGGAGCGAAACTCAACCCGCTCCCCTCGAAGGGGGCCCGGTGAGGACAGCCAGGCACGGGGCCATTCTTGTTATATTTTAGATAGGAAATTTTGTTCAATATATCTATTACAAATACTCCCTTTCAGGAGTTAAACTTTAAAATGATCACTGTTCCATAAGAAGAACGACAAACACAGCATGATATTATTTACATGTGGTATTTAGAGTAACGAGACAAGGAGATACAGTGGTTCAAGAGGTGTGTTGGGTGAGGGCAGATAAATCACCCTGACCCCAGATGTATAGGGAAGAGAAGGAAAAAAATGAAGGCGAGGTGGAGAGGAGAAAGATGAGAAGCAGTTGGTGTAGGAGTCAAAGCGACCCAGGTACATTGGTGGAGTTAAGCCAAGATAGAGCGAAATACCCAAACTGCAGAGTCAACCACACTGAAACCGTGAGACCCAAACTTTAGTAACCACATTTAAAAAGTGACTGTCAAGATGGTGGGCTGGGGGCTGGGGTGGGGGTTGGGAGAGGATTGGTGGTAGGAAACTGTATGTCCAAATCCCATCTACAGGGGCTGGAGCGATAGCACAGCGGGTAGGGCGTTTGCCTTGCACACAGCCAACATGGCCGACACAGGTTCGATTCCCAGCATCCCGTATGGTCCCGTATGGTCCCCCGAGCACTGCCAGGAGTGCATGAGCCAGGAGTGACCCTTGAGCATCGCTGGGTGTGACCCAAAAAGCAAAAAAAAACAAAAAACAAAAAAACAAAATTGCATCTATAAATAACTTTATAACTCACAGTGCTTTAATAAAATGATCATTGTCGTATCTTTGGAACCGGATGTTCTTGCTTTTAATGCTACCCAATATTTATTAATACTCCAATTTGTTCATATTGTCCTTGTGTTTGGTGTTTTTGGTAGCAGAAACCATGACCAATACCTTTTTATTTTTTTTTGAATAGAAGGGCTATGAGTTATGAACAGAAGGGCTTGGGGGCAGGCCCAGAACTACAGCGAGTGAGGCAGAGGGCAGCCTGCTCTCAGGTACCTGCAGCCCTGCTCGTTGCTTGATATTTGCATCGCATGATGCTGGGAATCAGGTCCCCAAAGTCTGCACGGGAGCTGCAATAACTTGAGCAGAGTTCCAGTTAATGATTACAATCGCCTCCTCTTTTTGTCACCTTATGTGTCTACTAAGGGAGAACAATTTCTTATTTGTTTGGGGGCCACACTCAGCAGTGCTCAGGGTTTAATCCTGGCTCGGTGCCTCGTAGGGCTCTGGGGACCATGTGGGGATATGAGGTGCTGGGCATGGAACCGGAGTGTCCAGCATGCAAGGCAAACTCTTCTTCCTGTGCTATTGCTGGGCTCTTATTTTTATTGCTCCTATTGTAATCTAGACAGTGTAATAAGCATTTATGGTTTTGACTTACAGAAAGCCACTGCACCTCACCACCACCAAGACCCTCCACCACCCAAACCCCAGCCCCCTGCACGTCCCCCCATTATTCTTGAACTCCTTCCTTACCACTCCACACCCTGCACCCCTACATCACATCTCAGGATTTTTTCCATTGGGGGTTACCGAATTCCTTTGCTTTGTCTTTTTTTGGCACCCGGTTGATGAGATCATCTTGGCGCGTATCTTTTTCTCTTTCACCCACTTGGCAAAGTAACTCCAACCACTTTACTTGTGGACGGCAGTCGCTTGAAGCCCATTTTCCTTCCTGCATCCAATAAAAACTACATGTCCATCCCCCTGAGTCTCCTTCGGTCCCGGATCCCAGGCCTCCCCGGGAAAGTTCTCCAGTTCTTCCCTGGGTAACTCTGTGCTCCGCGTGCCGAGTTGCAGACTCAGAACCTCTAGGAACTTCCAGGCCGGGCTGCGCCCCTCGGGAGGACCACGCCCGGGCCTCGCAGATCTGGGGCGGGGGGTGTTCCCCGAATCGGAGGCACCCCTTGCCCCTCCACGGGGCCTCCGTGAAAACCTGGATCCAGGATCCCCGGTCCGGTCCTACAGGGCGAGTCTCCCGCTGTCCCCAACGTCCTCTCCGCGTCTTCGGCCGAGCTCGGGCGGGCGCAGCTGAGGCCCAGCGGCCGGCGCGGCGGCGAGGTGAGGGGCCGCGGGGTGGGCAGCCAGCGGGGTGGGCAGCGCCGGGGCCCGGGCGGGACCGCGGGGTGGGCAGCGGGGTGGGCAGCACCGGGGCCCGGGCAGGAGCGGCGGGGCCGGGCGGGGTGCCCGGGGCAGGGGCGGCGGGGCAGGCGGGAGGACCCGGGAGGGGGATCCTGGGGGTGAGGGGTGGGGGCTGGGGCCGAGCTGCCCGAGAGCCGCTGGGCGTGGGGGGCGCGCGGCGGGGGGGGCTCGCTGCAACCCGGCCCCGCGCCTGCAGCCCCCGCGCGGCCACCCAGCTAGTTGCGTCCCTGGAGTGTCCCCGCGCCCCTGCTCCCCCCTCCTCCGGGAACCACTTGTTGATGGGATCCGGTGCCCCAGAGGCAGCTCTCCGCTCCAGTGTGTTGGAGTAGGGGGTGCCGGGGGGTCGCGGGGATGGGTGGGGGTCCCCCCGAAGGGCAGTCGCCGCTGAGCACCGTTGCTAGCTTGTTTCTTTAAATTTTTAAATTTTTTTTTTTTTTTTTTAGGTATTTTGGTATCTGACTAGCGCCCTCCGCGCGTTATGCGTAAGAAATCGAAATAGCATCCGTGTGATTTTAAAATTTCCCCCACCCACCCCGGGGGAATCTTTAAATGAGTCTTGCCTAGGGAGCCCACGCCACGCGACGTGACTTTGAACTGGGTTTCTTGTTCTTTTCCGGAACGCCTCTCCCCGGGAGAGTGGGGTGGTCGCACCACGCGTCGGGGCGTGGAGAGCGGGGTGCATTTTGGGGGCGCGCGTCCTCCCAGGGGATCCCAGGCTCCTGCCCCCACTTTGCATCTGGGGGCGCGCGTCCTCCGGGGGGGGTCCCAGGCTCCTGCCCCCACTTTGCATCTGGGGGCGCGCGTCCTCCGGGGGGGGGGGTCCCAGGCTCCTGCCCCCACTTTGCATCTGGGGGTGTGAGTCCTCCGGCGGGGGTCCCAGGCTTCTGCCCCCCACTTTGCATCTGGGGGCGCGCGTCCTCCGGGGGGTCCCAGGCTCCTGCCCCCACTTTGCATCTGGGGGTGTGAGTCCTCCGGCGGGGGTCCCAGGATCCTGCCCCCACTTTGCATCTGGGGGCGCGCGTCCTCCGGGGGGGTCCCAGGATCCTGCCCCCACTTTGCATATGGGGGCGCGCGTCCTCCGGGGGGGGTCCCAGGCTCCTGCCCCCACTTTGCATCTGGGGGCGCGCGTCCTCCCGGGGGATCCCAGGCTCCTGCCCCCACTTTGCATCTGGGGGCGCGGGTCCTCCGGGGGGGTCCCAGGCTCCTGCCCCCACTTTGCATCTGGGGGCGCGCGTCGTCCGTGGGGGTCCCAGGCTCCTGCCCCCACTTTGCATCTGGGGGCGCGCGTCCTCCGGGGGGGTCCCAGGCTCCTGCCCCCACTTTGCATCTGGGGGCGCGCGTCCTCCGGGGGGATCCCAGGCTCCTGCCCCCCACTTTGCATCTGGGGGCGCGCGTCCTCCGGGGGGGGTCCCAGGCTCCTGCCCCCACTTTGCATCTGGGGGCGCGCGTCCTCCGGGGGGGGTCCCAGGTTTCTGCCCTCACTTTGCATCTGGGGGCGCGCGTCCTCCGGGGGGGGTCCCAGGCTCCTGCCCCCACTTTGCATCTGGGGGCCCGGGTCCTCCGGGGGGGTCCCAGGCTCCTGCCCCCACTTTGCATCTGGGGGCGCGCGTCCTCCGGGGGGGTCCCAGGCTCCTGCCCCCACTTTGCATCTGGGGGCGCGCGTCCTCCGGGGGGGGTCCCAGGCTCCTGCCCCCACTTTGCATCTGGGGGCGCGCGTCCTCCGGGGGTCCCAGGCTCCTGCCCCCCACTTTGCATCTGGGGGCGCGGGTCCTCCGGGGGGGTCCCAGGCTCCTGCCCCCACTTTGCATCTGGGGGCGCGCGTCGTCCGGGGGGGGTCCCAGGCTCCTGCCCCCACTTTGCATCTGGGGGCGCGCGTCCTCCGGGGGGGGTCCCAGGCTCCTGCCCCCACTTTGCATCTGGGGGCGCGCGTCCTCCGGGGGGGGGTCCCAGGCTCCTGCCCCCACTTTGCATCTGGGGGTGTGAGTCCTCCGGCGGGGGGTCCCAGGCTTCTGCCCCCCACTTTGCATCTGGGGGCGCGCGTCCTCCGGGGGGGTCCCAGGCTCCTGCCCCCACTTTGCATCTGGGGGTGTGAGTCCTCCGGCGGGGGGTCCCAGGATCCTGCCCCCACTTTGCATCTGGGGGCGCGCGTCCTCCGGGGGGGTCCCAGGATCCTGCCCCCACTTTGCATATGGGGGCGCGCGTCCTCCGGGGGGGGGGTCCCAGGCTCCTGCCCCCACTTTGCATCTGGGGGCGCGCGTCCTCCCGGGGGATCCCAGGCTCCTGCCCCCACTTTGCATCTGGGGGCGCGCGTCCTCCCGGGGGATCCCAGGCTCCTGCCCCCACTTTGCATCTGGGGGCCCGGGTCCTCCGGGGGGGTCCCAGGCTCCTGCCCCCACTTTGCATCTGGGGGCGCGCGTCGTCCGGGGGGGGTCCCAGGCTCCTGCCCCCACTTTGCATCTGGGGGCGCGCGTCCTCCGGGGGGGGTCCCAGGCTCCTGCCCCCACTTTGCATCTGGGGGCGCGCGTCCTCCGGGGGGGGTCCCAGGCTCCTGCCCCCACTTTGCATCTGGGGGCGCGCGTCCTCCGGGGGTCCCAGGCTCCTCCCCCCAGCTTTGCACCGGGTTGTCCCTGGAGCGGACACTCGGGGAGCTCGGGCAGGCTTGCTGAGGTCGCGGGGCCCCAGGGCGGCGTGTCCCCCTGGGCCACCTTGCTCTCGGGTGCAGAACCGGCCCTGGACCCGGAGGGTTCTGCGCGGTAGTGGCCCGAGCTGCCTTGCCGCAGTTTCAGAACTTCTTCCTCCCGCCTGCGTCCCGAGGTGGCGCGCGGCAGCATCCTGGGATGACCCAAATCCGCCCCCTTTGCGGAGTTGCTGCTGTGACTCTGACTTTACCGACTTCCTGCTAGGTGGCAGTGTGTAGCAGGAAATTAAGTACACAGTATCAATTCGCAGGGTTCATTGTGTATTCCTCAGTTAAAAAAAAAAAAGAGTAAGTTTTCAAGTTTTATTTTACAAACGTTTTTGGAAAAGAAAATTAAATTTCAGGTTAAATTTATAAAGAACAGTCTGGGCAAACAAAGTTATTCATAGATAGGAATATATATTCATATTTTTGTGTCTAAGTATTGCTTAGTATGCAGTATGCTTCTAGCCCATATTTAAATGCTTTCTAAATTTGGGCTATGAAGCGTTGATTTCAGTAAGAAATGCAATACCGAAGTCTAGTATTCCTAAATATGACCTTCCTTCCTTCCTTCCTTCCTTCCTTCCTTCCTTCCTTCCTTCCTTCCTTCCTTCCTTCCTTCCTTCCTTCCTTCCTTCCTCTCTTTCTCTCTCTTTCTTTCTTTCTTTCTTTCTTTCTTTCTTTCTTTCTTTCTTTCTTTCTTTCTTTCTTTCTTTCTCTCTCTCTCTCTCTCTCTCTCTTTCTTTCTTTCTTTCTTTCTTTCCCTTTCTCTCTCCCTCCCTCCCTCCCTCCCTCCCTTCCTTCCTTCCTTCCTTCCTTCCTTCCTTCCTTCCTTCCTTCCTTCCTTCCTTCCTTCCTCTCTCTCTCTCTCTCTCTCTTTCTTTCTTTCTTTCTTTCTTTCTTTCTTTCATTTTGGGGCTACACTCAAGGTGCTGGAGGGTGCTCTGTGATCCGGGGTCACTCCTGGTGGTATTCAGGGGATTACAAAGTTCTGGGGGGTCAAACAGGGCCAGCCACATGCAAGGCATGCATCTTAATTCCTGTGCTTGCTTCCTATCAACAAATACGAGTTTTAAAAAAATGATGTAAATTAAATTTATGTGTGTGTGTGTGGGGGGTGTGGCTCCCAAGCACCCACAAGTGGTCCCTGGGGGCCATTCCCAGTGATTCTTACCCCCTAGTGGTAGGGGTCCTGGATGGGGTGCTGCTTGAGCATTCTGGTGCTAATTAGGCTTCTGGTGGAGGAACCACTGGACTCCCCCAAGTGCTCAGGGGCTTGCAGACAACACGCTGCAATGCTGGGGGGTCATGTGGTATTGGGAATTAAACTGATCTGGGGCTTTCATGTGCTGTAACTATTTTCTCTGACCCAGTTTATTTTCAGTGTGTTGTAGGCATGTTATGTTATGTAAAGTTGAATTGCTGAAAAGAGTGAATATAAAGTCATTCCCAAACTTTTTCTACGGGATTTTTCTTGATCTATTCCCAGGATTCTGAGTTTGTGAAGACTCACTGTTTTGATTATTCTCTCCCTACATGACTGTTCTTCTTATGTGGAGAGTTTTTGCTCCTAGATGCTATTTATGACCAAAAAAAAAAAAAGAAGCTTAATTTTGGAGCTGAAACCTGAGATGAGCCACACCTTTCTCCTTAGGGGTCTGAAACAGGAGTTATATTTTAACAGTTTTATTGAACGCATTCCTCATTCACGATTTAATAAATAATCAAGCAGATGCAGGATTTTTAATTCATATTGTCTGCAAGGGAGGAAAATTGTTAGAGAGTTACTTGAGCGGGCCCAGTAACGTCTCCATTGTGAGACTGCTTGTTACTGTGTTTGGCATATTGAATACTCTCGGTAGCATGCCAGGCTCTCTGAGAGGGCCAGAGGAATCGAACCTGGCTTGGTTAGGCTGGCTGCGTGCAAGGCAAACGCCCTAACCTGGGAAATGATAGTTGCTATGAAGACCTTAATAGGAAAATAAAAATGAAAAAAGGAGATTCGGAGGAGCTCCCTTAGTTCTTAGAATGATATTGAATCTCCATAGTGTTAGGCCCCACACCCTTAAATAGAACTGCTCCTTTTAAATGCTCCTAGTTTGAATTCATATCTATTTTTATTAGGATTCTTTATTGGGATTTATTGGCATGCTTTTATTTACTTCCTACATGAAGACCTATCAAGAGTCATTGTGTTACTATTGTGTTACTACTGTATAGAGTGCTTTGTTGTGTACCT